CCAGTAACAAGTACCAGTACCTACAAGTACCAGTAACAAGTACCAGTGGCTACAGTACAAGTATCAGTGGCATACCACCTAAAGTGGCATCACATGATCAACATGAAACAGATCAGCAGCAACATGAAACAGATCAGCAGCAACATGATGTGATTTTCCACAGTGATTATTCTAGTTAGAGATTCATGAGTCTAACAGCCTCAGGGTAGAAGCTGTTCCTCAGTCTAGTGGTTCTACACTTAATGCTCCTCAACCTCCTTCCTGAGGGGAGTGGGGCAAAAAGTGTGTGTGCTGGGTGAGCGTGGTCCTTCATGATGCAGGTGGTCCTCTTCCTGCATCTGGAGGTGTAGATGGTGGTGATGGTGGGGAGGCTGACTCCAACATCTTCTGTGCAGCCTTCACCACTCTCTGCAAAGCTTTTCTTTCTGCAGCTGTGCAGCCTCCATGCCACACGTTGATGCTCGAGCACAGGATGCTCTCCACTGCACACCTGTAGAAGGAGGTGAGGACTGAGCTTCCAGACCAGCTCGTCTCAGCCGTCTGAGGAAGTAGAGTCTCTGATGAGCTTTCTTCATCAGGCTGGTGGTGTTGTTGCTCCAGCTGAGGTTGTTGTTCATGTGTACACCCAAGTTCTTGTAGCTGGAGACCACTTCCACCACAGATCCTCCTATGTTCAGGGAGATAGGTGTATTTGTTCCATCTGAAATCCACCATCATCTCCTTTGTCTTCTTCACATTAATGTGAAGGTTATTCTCTTTGCACCAGCTCTCCAGGTGTTCCACCTCCTGCTTGTAGCTGGACTCATCATTGTTTGCGATGCATCCCACCACCACTGTATCATCTGCAATCTTTACAATGTGACAGCCTGGATGGGGAGGTGCATGAGCAGAGTAAACAGGAGAGGGCTCAGCACACAGCCCTGAGGAGAGCCAGTGCTGACGGTTATAGTGGAGGAGGAAAAGTTGCGGATCCTCACTGACTGTGGTCTGTTTGTTAGAAAGTCCAGGACCCAGTTGCAGATGGAGGGGCTTAGTCCTAGTGTGAGTAGTTTGTCCATCAGGGTTTGGGGGATCATGGTGTTGAAGGCGGATGTGAAGTCCACAAAGAGCATATGGACGTAGGAGTTCTTCTGCTCCAGGTGGATGAGAGCAGAGTGGACCACAGAGGAGATGGCGTCCTCTGTTGATCGATTCTCGTAGTATGCATACTGATGAGGGTCCTCGTTGATGTTGATGGTTGTTTTGATGTGAGTCATGACCAGTTTTTAGAAGCATTTAGTGATTATCAGGGTGAGGGATACTGGCTGGTCATTCAGACCAGTCACTAGAGCTCTTTGGGACTGGGATGATGGTGGTGGTCTTCAGGCAGGTGGGAACTGTTGCCAGGGTGAGGGAGGAGTTAAAGATGTTGACCAGCACCTCGCAGAGCTGGTCAACACATCAGGATCTCATTTGAAAGAGGAACCTGGACAAGGGTTCTCGTTTCTAAAGTGCAAACAACTCAAGTCCATAAATGCACCATCAGAAGGTTTCAGGAGACGACTTGGAGCTGAAACTGCAGGAAACTGATCAACTTTTACTTGAAGGACTTCATCTTCTGCATGTCCTGTTTGTTTCTGAGTTCTGACCCGTGGTCTTCTGTCCACAGCCGGACGCTCCGGCCTCCTGTCTGCCTCGTCTAATTACAGCATCTCTGTGGTCAAAGCTGTGAATTCACTCGGAGTTCTGAAAAACTCAGTTCTGACCCAAAACGTCAGAAGTGTTTTCATATTTTTATCATATTTGTTTAAATCTCGTGCTAACGTCTCTCCTGGCGGTTTCATCCTTAATGCTCATCTAATGCTCATCTAATGCTCATCTACACTCTTGACTTTAGTGTTGTTCAAGAGAAATGTGGATATTTATGACAAATAAAATCTAAACCTTCTTGTAGTTTCTGTCAAACATCAGATTTTTTAAACTGGCAGTTCAAGAAGCTTTTGTTTGGTTTTACTGGAATAAACCGTGAGTCCTGCTGGGAGCTCAGGATGCTTTAAAACAGCTGAAATTGAGGCTCTTACCAGCTGAGAAGTTTCCTCTCCTCAGAGAGCTGTAAAATTCACAATTTACCGCCCAGAGAGCAGCACTTTTCCTTTCAACAAACCCCGGAGAAGTTACTGCCTTTTGTTTTTATCCACAATGTCAGGACGGAAGGACAATCAGCTCCTGGTCACTCGTTTGTTTCTGAGCTCGGAGCAACCGTTTCATTTTTTTATTGTCCGTGTTTTAACGTCTGTCTTTGAACGAAGAAACTTGAACTGATTTGATCTTTAAAGCAGCAACGTCATCAGAAAATCTGAACACAACTTTGACAACAACATTTGAGGCCAACAGCAATGAGCCAGTTTATAAAATCACAATATTACACCTGATTTCAATAAAAAACAAATAACGAGACATTACTTCCCTACGTAAAAAAAGACCTAAATAAGTTTTCTGACAATAAAGTCATAAATTAACAAAATGGACATTTGGATATTCTCTGTTATCTAAGTGGTAAATTTACAGCAATTAAACAAACAACAACAAAAACAAACAAAAAAAACTTATATTTATCAGAAACAAAACTTGCATTTTGTTTCCCTGTAAATTTATTATTGATCAAACACAGGAAACAACATTTTTAATAAGTTCAGGACATGGAAAAAGCTGGAAATTTAGTAAAATTTCCAACAAATTTCCAACTTTACAGTATCAGAGAATGTCAGTTTTCTTAACTCATATATTTTTGTAATTAATTATCTAAAAGTAACATTTCCTTGCAAATATGTGCATTTCCATTATTAAAAAAAATATAATTTTACACAAAGGTACACAATCTTACTGTCTGGGTATTTGAGATATTTTGTCACCTCTCATTTCATTAATATTTTATTATTAATGGCCCCATGCACCAGCGTACCTAGTTTGTGAATTTCTGGTAAGAAAAACAACAAACATTACATTTTACCATTAAGACTCTATTAAACTGAGTACAGGAGTCCCTCAGGGATGTGTACTCAGTCCTGTAGTTTTTACTCTGCTGGCTGCAAATTCAGCTCAATTGAACTTCTTAACACAAAATGCAAAATTAATGATTTATTTAAGCAGTTCAGACGTGCATGCATTACGTCAGGGTTTTGTTTTCCAGAACTGCTGACACTTCAGTTTTCCTGCAGGCAGCCACGCAGCAGCTGCAGCTACACATGTGGAAAGTTTAACCTTCATAGTTAAAGGAAAACGTAATCGGTCTGAACAAAAGCTGCTTTTTTACAACGTGTAAAGATCAAAGGCTGCTTGATTTTATCGCAGGAATACAGCAGCAGCAGTTCTGTGCCCAATGAGAAGCAGGTGTCGGCCCGATCTGAGCGCTTTAAACGGCTTCATAATGAGGGCTGCAGGGCCTCCTGGGTGCAGGAGAGCCCTGTAGCCCTGGAACCCAAACAGCAGAGTAATGAAACGTTACTCCGTGAGCAAAAGTCAACGGTAAACTGAGCGCGAACAATAACAGAAACACAAACTGCGACTTTATGACAACATTTAGGATCAACATGAGAGCCGGTGCTGAAAATAAAAGTCACTGCGTTTTATTAAACATCACTGCAGCGTTTAACAAAACATGATAATAAAATCACAAGCACATGTTGAGTCTGCTCATCTAAATGGATTTTAGCTGCTCTAATTTACAAGCTAAACAAGACAGTTATTATCCTGAAAAAGACTGACGTCCTTGTTTCCACGTGGGACGATAACTTCAGTATTACTGAGAAGAAAACAGTGAGCTGTGCCCACTCTTGCAGTCCTGAGTGCAGCACCGTCACAGACGTTGAGTTCCATCAGTAAAGACACAAAAAAAACTTATTTCGGCTTCTTCTTTCTTTTCGGCTGCTCTCTTTTAGGAGTCGCCACAGTGAACTCTCAGGGAAGACAATTGTTTTGTGTTTTTTACGCTGGATGTCCTTCCTGTCGCAACCACAGGCCACCGAGCTACCACAGCCTCTGTGACACATTTCAATGTTGTCGGTCCGGGGAGTTGAACCAGCAACCTTCTGATCACAGGCCCACCTTCTCTGGCCTCTGTGCCACCACTGCCCCAGTAAAGACAAAACACTAAACCCCCAAACAGAAGCTTTTTCATGAGGGACTGAACAAAATTATCCAAATGCTGAGTCAGCACTTGGATAATTTTGTGTGATTTCTTTCTGTAATTCATCTTATCAGACTTGAAGCTGCTTTATCCATTTAAACATCAAAATGTTCCAATAATTTGAGAGGTGGCCTTTAAAACTTTTATACGTTTAAAACTTTACACTTTATCTACAAATGATTCCTTTAAAATCATTGATCTCTTAAAAATCTGCTTCGGCTGCTCTTTTTTTTTTTTTTGTCATTTCACGGTACCTTAAGCTAACATTTTGATACTTTAGCTTTGAGCCAGACATCTGGTTTCTTTTCCTGTTTTTACTTTTTGCTCATGTTCAGTTCGTTTTAGCTTCAACAGCTCAGTTTCCGTCAGCGCTCAGCTGTTTTCACAGGAAATGTGATTTCTGCAGTTACATGGTTCCCCGTCACACCGAACACCCAGATGTTCTGCAGTTCGTCCCCTTGGGCCCGAGGAGCAGAATGAATGTGCGGACGTGACACTCCTCACCCTGTCGAGATAAGAATAGTCCAAACCTCAGCCGAGCAGCAGCAGTAATTACAGCCAGCTTGGGTTTGGCTGCTTCTCCTCCAGCATCAGAAAACAAAGGTGAAAAAACAGTTAAATCATCCGTTTCTTCACACTCCAGGACCAGCGTCACTCTGGACCTGCTGTCACTGAGCCACATCTGGACTCAAACCTCAGCAAGAAGTGTAATTACAGAACCGCTGGTCACAAGACTGCTGGCTCCACAGCACTGTGGAGTTGTAGGAGTCTTGCACCTGCAGGAGTCACTCAGTCAGTGATGGATCACTTCTCCGACCGTTCAGTTCAACTGTGGGGACACACAGCCTCTCAGGACAGGAAGTGAGGATCAGGACAGGAAGTGAGGATCAGGACAGG